GTAGTAAGCGTTTCCATTTGATTTCCAGTATTGCTTCTAATGTTCGGGAATTCTCCACCTCCTTCGGACCCAGGGCTAACGATAAGAGTTTCGATAGAATCTATTCTCAGGGAGGGCTTAATGTGAAGCCCGTGGTGGTGGTAGAGGAGGAGATTGGCCAGGCTGAAAATGCTTTTCCTGATGGTGAGAGGATTGAAAAAAGTCAGCATTTTGATGGACTGGAAGTTGAAAAAAGTGCCATTGTGAATAACCTTAAAGATGAATCTGAGGCTGAAAAGGAGGCATGGAAGTTGCTGGAAGAAGCTGTTGTTAGGTACTGTGAGAGTCCAGTTGGGACATTGGCTGCAAATGATCCTAATGATAAGTTACCCCTTAATTATGATCAAGTGTTCATAAGGGATTTTGTTCCATCAGCCCTTGCATTTTTACTCAAAGGGGAAAATGATATAGTGAAACATTTTCTTCTTCATACCCTGCAACTACAGGTAATCTTGTGTTCTTTCATTAGAGAATACCGTCAAATGCGGTTTGTTTGTAACAGAGAGGGAATTATAATTTAACAATGGTCAGGTGTTAGATTGACACAACTTTCAATCTGTCATTGCATATAACACCTTCTAGCGATGCTTGCATGGAACATGACAAGCATATGGGAAATCAAGTAAAGGACTACTGAGATTGATATGACATACTATCTATATGAGTGATTGATCTGCTCAAATATGGTGGATTGGTTGATGTTATTTTAATGCTCTTATCCTCATTAGCTTATGTATTTAGGAAATGATTTCCTTGGATTTCTTCCTTTCCTAATTTAGATACACATATATTTTTTTATGTAGAGTTGGGAGAAAACAGTTGACTGTTACAGTCCAGGGCAAGGGCTGATGCCTGCAAGCTTTAAAGTGAGGACAGTGGCTATTAATGAAAACACATTTGAAGAAGTTCTTGATCCCGATTTTGGGGAATCAGCAATTGGCCGTGTTGCACCTGTTGATTCAGGTTACCTTATACGTTTTTGGTTCCATTGGTTGCCAAAAAGTTGTTAATAAACCAAATCACATGTATTGTCATGCTTCTTTTCAATTCTTAGTTGGTTGAGACTTGGTTGTGATTAAGGCTTTTCTCAGTTAACTCGTGTCTATAGGGTTCTTTGACTTGTTTCTGTATGTTCTTTCATTGGGGAAAATCTTGAAAGAATTTAAAAATAGAAGCGCTTTAGAAAACTCTCAAAATAAAGATTAGTTTCATTGTAGTCAGATCATAAATGAATGCTGAAATGATGTTTACTCCGTGACTTTGATAGGCTTGTGGTGGATTATCTTGTTGAGATCATATGGGAAGATCACTGGTGACTATGCTTTGCAGGAACGAGTGGATGTACAGACTGGCATTAAACTAATATTGAATTTGTGTTTGTCTGATGGCTTTGATATGTTTCCTTCTTTGCTAGTAACTGATGGATCTTGCATGATAGACCGACGGATGGGGATTCATGGCCATCCGCTTGAGATTCAAGTAATTAATAGTTAAATTAGTTTTAGGATTATCCTCTGTGGCACCTCAATACCTCATTTGTTTTTACTATTTTATTCTATGTTTAAAAACCAGACCACAAAGCAACTCAGCCAAATGACCGGGTCACGTGTCAACACGGACCCAACGGGTCAATCCGGTCAACAGTGGGAAAACCGGTGAACATCAATATAACTATAATAATGAACATATAATTATATATAATTAAAATAAAAGGTATTTATTCTTTATAATAATATAATAATTATAATACATCGCAAGCATTTAAAATACTCTCATAATATTCCAAAATATAATTTTATTCCTGTTAGAATCAATATTGTTATTTGTGTTGTACATTTACATTATAATTTGACATGAATTTCATTGTTAAATAAATATACAAATATATCACATAGTTTTTCTTTTTATGATAATGTGGGGATTGGGATTGTGGTTTTATTAGATTAAAAATAATTAAAACAAAATATTAAAATCAATTGTTTTGAAAAACAGTCCGAAACTGGGGTTTTCCGGGATAGCCTGATTTTTCTAGTTTTTACCCATTTCTGGGGTTTTCACTGTCTAACAAGCTTTTGGTCCGAGTCGACCCGGCTGCTCTGGTCTGGTTTTTTAAATATAAATTTTAGTGTTTCTCTGCATTAAGGCATTTGTTTTCATCTTTTTTTTATAAAGGGTATTTTTGTTTTTATGTGGGTTACTTTGGAAATTACAAAAGAAAAATAAAATACAACTATTTTTCATAAATTTTTAGATTTGTATCTAGATTTCTTAGTCTTGACATTATACAAATAAAAATGAGCTTCTTAATATTTCTCGAGCGAATTCATTGAGTTTAACCGTTTGAGCTTCATATTTATTTTCTAGCCTTCATTTTTTTCCTTAGTATATTACGTAGTAATATTCTATGTCTGATGTTTTTCTATAAGGCTTCATTGGGGGTAGTATTTTGAGCAGTTGGGTGGCGCCATCCACTCTAAGCTTATATTTTTATAAATATTTATCATAATAATTCAATTCAGAATAACACTTATGTAGTACAGGCCTTATTTTACTCGGCTCTTAGGTGCGCCCGTGAAATGCTTGCTTCAGATGAAGGATCAAAGAATTTGGTGAGAGCTGTCAGCAACAGGCTTAGCGCTTTATCATTTCACATAAGGGAATACTACTGGGTTGATATGAAGAAGATAAATGAAATATACAGATATAAGACAGAAGAGTATTCCACAGACGCCACTAACAAGTTCAATATCTACCCTGAACAAATTCCGAATTGGTTAATGGATTGGATTCCGGAGGAAGGAGGCTATCTCATTGGGAATTTACAGCCAGCTCACATGGACTTCAGGTTCTTCACACTAGGAAACCTTTGGTCAATTGTCTCGTCTCTTGGTACCCCTAAACAAAATGCAGCTATCCTAAACTTGATGGATGCTAAGTGGGATGATCTTGCGGGTCAGATGCCTCTTAAGATATGTTATCCTGCTCTAGAGTCCGAAGAGTGGCGTATAATCACAGGTTGTGATCCAAAGAATACGTAAGTTTTCCAATAAACTTTTAGCAGTTGTTTGGTCAGGGGAGCTCTAAAATCTACCAAAAACTTGTTTATTAATTACTCTTACCTTGATGTTTTTGAGAGGTTATCTTGTTTTTAATTTCTCTCACCTTAGTGTTTGTCAAAAATGTTCTATATTATTGTTGTTCTATCTTATTATATCAAACACACCATTTTGGTAAACATATTTTTCAAAATGTTAATTCCTCTTCCTACACTCTCGTGAACTAAATGTAATGTTTTATTTAATCATCCTAATCTTCCTCTGCTCTCATTTCCGTATTTCTCCTCCTCAAACAAGGGCTGATGTTCCATGCTTGCTTGCCTGAGATTTGAATTCTTATCGACTTAGGACTATATCCTTTTGATATTTCAGGCCCTGGTCATATCATAATGGGGGATCTTGGCCTACACTTCTCTGGCAGGTAACTAAGCTTTCTTGAAGTTTTAATTGTGCCCCTACATCAAGTGTATGCTTGGATCTCATGAAATGCTAGACAAAGGACACAGATGCTATGGAGACTTATATTTTCATGTGTGGCTTTTCCTTGGTAAATACAACGGGAAATGGAATGTCATTAATTTTGATAATATTCGTATGCAAGTTTAGATAGCCTGTTGTTTATATGATACAAATAATCTAATAAATAAACAGGTCTGACTTCTGAACAAATATGTGGAATCATTTTATTGGAATTGAGCCCATGTTTTACTTTCCTCAAACTTTTGAGTTTAAACAAGCTTTAAGTGATTATTCTAGTAATATTTTTGAAATAAACTAAAATTTCTGCACAGAAGTTTGGGGTTGTAATCATTAACTTTAATAACTTCTAGATTTTTTAAAATGTGATTACTATATTAAGCGATGAAAATGCACAGGAATTGTATCACAAAATAGCTTTAAAATGAATACACCCCCCTTGGAGTGGCTGCCGCAATGCCTCATTCACATGGCTCTTATTTCTTTCAGTTCACACTGGCATGCCTAAAGATGGGGAGAACAGATTTAGCTAGCAGAGGTGTTGAGTTGGCCGAGAAAAGGCTCCAGCTTGACCACTGGCCTGAATATTATGACACGAAAAGTGGGAAGTTCATAGGGAAACAATCCCGGCTTTACCAAACCTGGACAATAGCTGGTTTTCTGACATCCAAGATGCTCTTGAGAAATCCCGAAATGGCTTCTTTCTTGTTCTGGGAAGAGGACCTGGATCTTCTGGAGACATGTGTCTGTGCACTAAGCAAATCAAAGAGGAGGAAGTGTTCCCGTGGTGCCGCCAAGTCTCAGATTCTGGTCTAGCCGCAGGCTGCTTTCGGTCTCTCAAAGATTTGACCATACCGACAGTAGTAGTTATAGAGTATACGTGTGTAACTGATAAATGCTTTGAGGGTATTTTTGACCTCGAAAGAAAAAGAAAATGATTCTTTTAGGCAAGTCCATTTGGCATTGTTATTTGTAAAGCCAAGTGATTTATAGCGTAGGCAATTGGCTTAATATAGTATAGCAGGCATAATAAACTACAACTATATTGTATTTGTGACTCAGTTTAGCAGCCATAATAGGTTACAAGTTACAACTATCTTGTATTGTGATTCATGATGTTGTAAGGTCTTTACATGTATCTTTTGCACATCAATTTGTGAGGGTATAATAGCTTAATAAGATTATGCATTTATGAATAGTAATATCATGCTTTTGTAACTCTGTAAGTGAAAGCAGGAACTCCTACTCCAGGTTACTGCAGATGCCATTTTATGGACTTGGAGTCTTCAAATTTATGAGTTTATGTAATATTTAAACCCTTCAACTTTATTATAAAATTGAATTTTGAAATTTCAGGTTTTGTGTTATAGAACTCTCTGTTTGATAATAAATGACTCACTAAAAAGTTCACTTTAATGTTTATCGTAACAACAGTTGTGTTGAATGGAATATCAAGAATGCCATTGAATAGAAATTAGAAACCCCTTCTTTCTTTTATCTATCCTCGTCCGCCATGGACGGGCGCAGAGCCCTCGTTTCGATTCCAATGGGAGACAATTTCGAAGAGATATTGAACACCTACTTCACGAACGGGGCGGAAGTAGAGATTAGCAGCAACGACGATGGCTTCCGCGGCGCATGGTACGAAGGGAAGGTGATCCGCGCCGTGTCAAAAAAAGTCAGAAAGACTCAAAGCAAGAAGGAGAAGCGGGTGGAGGTCGTGGTGGAGTATGAGACGCTAATGGCTGACGAGGCCGGGAAAGTGCCTCTGCAGGAGACAGTCGACATCGTTCAAGTCCGGCCGCGGCAGCCCCGAGAGGGCCTTCGCAGATTCAAGTCCAGCGAGGAGGTGGACGCCTTCTACAACGATGGATGGTGGGAAGGCATCGTAATCGCTGCGCTGGAAGGCGGCAAGTACTCGGTGTTCTTCAGGGCAACCAGGGAGCAGCTAGATTTCGCTGGATCGGACCTCCGTCTCCACCGCGAGTGGGCCAACGGAGAATGGATCCCGCGCTTGCGGGATGGAGATGCTGAGGTAAACTATGCAAACAACTTATACATGTATCTGTATGCACATCTTTGCTACGTATTTATGTCTTCTTAGCCTGAGTTTTTTTGGTGATCCACGGACTTGTCTAGTTTTTTCTATGCAACTCTCATAACAGTTATGGTTTATATCACAAGAAGAATGAATGAATCGGCAAACCTGATTCAATTCTGCAGACCTTAACAGGAAATTCTTGGCACCAAAAATTGTTTGCCATCTTGATTTTTTCCAAAAGCTCGAAATAACAATATTTTCATTGCATGCCAAACAGGCTCTCAACCCCTCAGAGTTCAATTCAACAAAGAACTCTGAGAGTTTCATTTTACTTAATTTCATTAGCAATATGGCTTCTTTAGCATCGATTAGTGTGAATCCGACCCCCCTTCAGAGGAGCATGAAAAGGACACTTTGTCTTTACAGCCTATCGCTATTTTGAGAACCGCTCTCCTGCTGTCTGATTTATCCCCAATCGCAGATTCACTCGTGGAGGAATACCAAATTGGTTTACACCGTGACCATCCGCGAAAATATTGCTGTTATGTGATCCTGAACTCCATTGATCTATTTCAGCGTCTTCACACCATTTGTGGAAGACTATTCAACTCTCGTAAGCTGCACTTCAATGGTCTCACTGAGTCATTCGACATGGAAGCAGGTTACTTTGCTTAAAAAGTACACATAGCTGGCGTCTACGTTTGAGCATGGTTCTGGGACCTTTATGTTTCCATCCGTTGCTCTGTTGAAAAATGTTCTTCAACTGCCTTTTCAGAGTACTTCCATACTCCGCAGGCCCACATTTCAGACAGGTGTGTAATGCCTTCCTGACCCACGTGAACTTTATCATCCGCCCAGTTCACATCAACCTCGCTCTTGAAGACACTCTCCCGACACTGCTAATTTGCAATAATCACGCCTGGAGTACTGGTAACCCATTCAACATCAATGGTAACATGACAGAGGGTGAGAGGGAATAATAGATTTACTTGAAGTCGAGAATTAAAGATTCAAGGTTGATCCCTTGACATGTGACACTTTCGGTCGCCTCAAGTTCCACCTGTAACGAAGTTTCTTTGGAGCTGCTGAATTTCGCACCAACAAAACCCACTGGTATGATATCCTCTATCACACAATAACCAGCATGCCTTCTTCTTGTTGCAAGAGCAGCTGTCCTGAGACAACGACTTCCTCAAATGGAAATCAAACTGATGATTTGACCATTCCAAAAGAACTTTCTCTGTACCCACCTCAGAAGCAGACCTGCAAAGATAACAATGCCGTGAATAAAGATGAGCCAATCACCATCTGAACCACTCTTGCTCAGTACAAGATCACTGATTGGTGCTATCATGCTAGAGTCTTGCTAGAGAGCAACGTCCAATCCTAGAATGCAGTTGTCAGGAACTTCATCACTTAACGCGCGTAGTTTAGGTTATGTCATTTAGATTTTGTCATCTCTTACAACTTTTTGTAACTATCTAGCCATGTTAGATTTAAGCTCAGGTTTGTAATCTCATTTAAGACATGGTGTTTTGCTTAAAAATAAAAAATAACTCTGTAAAAGAATGCAAAAAGCCGAAAAGGTTGTATTATTATAGAAGCTACAACCTTTGTAATCTCTATTGGTGATTTGTAATCTGTCTTCTATTCTGTGTAAAAATACAACCTTTCAGTCTCAGTCTTATAGAAGATACCTTTATTTTTATGTATTTTCATATCATTTGAGTCTTGATAACGTTACTTATTTCATCCTTAATAATAATTTTATTTTAGTTTTATCGGATTGATTATATCTGATTTTTTTATGGTATTACATTCTACTCCCTTAAAGGATGCTACGTCCTCGAAGCACAATCTAAGATGAAAAGATTCATAACAGTGACGAATTTCCTAGTTTATCCTTAAAGACCCTAGTTCAGCTAAGGATTCCACATAGCTTATATATACCCTATAAGTTTTCTCACAATACACCAAGTTCACACTCTAAAGTCTAAAGTATCATATACACATCATAAAAATTTACATACCTTATTTACCAAGGTTTTTTGGAAGTTATAATCTATCTGAAATGACTCACTGCGAACCCTACTTTCAACTTTTCAAGTTTCAAGTTAACCTTTGCCCAATCTGCTGTTGATTATTTTGTATTCTAGAGTGATGTTTTCCATATAGTCTCTCCAGTTTCCCTTTTTATTCTATAGTTTATCTTAGGGATGAGCTTAGCTTATGATCTTAGGTTTAGTGGTTATAAGAGCAAGCAATTCAAAATTTCAAAGAACTTCCAAAAAACTTGGTTTCATTGCAGATTCATGTCAGCCCACAGTAAATTAGTTTTCGTAGAAGTTTGACATGTTTAGATGATGAGTATGCCAAGTTGAAGGCACAAACGTAGTAAGCCATTGAAGTATTTTGATAAAATTTATTCGAGCTTGATAGAGCAAGCAATGGCCAATCCTTTTAAGTTAAGGAAGTCAATATGGGTCCAGGCTGCAAGCAAACCCAAACCCATCAGTGTGACATTCCAATATCCAAAACTGTAGAACATTTGGCCCGATGAGCTGCAAAATAGCTCCCTAGGAATCCACTGGAATTGGAGGTGTTGACGAATGAACTGTGAATTAAAAGTTTTAATCAAACCTTTTAACAATAAATCGTATACTTAGACATTAATAGAAATCATTATCATCTACACTTTAATCTCAATTACATTGAGATTGGTGACATGAAATTTGTAATTTCTATTAATTTCCCAAAATTAGTTAAGGCTAAAAGTTAATTCAATAAACTCAGTTTCTATATAAGAAAAGTGATTGTAACATTTAGTACTTCAATACTATTTATGTTTTGGTGGAGGTAGTATAGGTTTGTGGGGAGAGTTGTCCAAAAATTAACATAGTATAGCTAATAAATCAGGGGGTGGGGTTAAAGGTAAGGTTGTATGAAATGTACACAAGATAAAACAATTCACTTGTTGCACTTTTTTTCCCTTCATGCACAACTTCCCTGCATTCTGGTCTAATAAGTAGACCTGTAACGGAGATTGGATGTTAAGAATATGTAAAAATGTTATGGGCTTTTACTGTTTTCCTTTTATTTTGTTCCTTGACCTTTTTCTTCTCAATATTTTTCTGGCTAGATGTTAATTCGTATCTTGCAATGCAGGAAAATAAAATATCAAAAGAGGAGAAACCTGACAATGATATTAGTCAACAAACTTTCCATCAAGGAATGATGGTCGAAGTAAGCAGTGATGAAGAGGGTTACGATGGTGCTTGGTTTGTTGCTACTGTCGTAAAACAACTAGACAGTGGTAATTACATGGTAGAGTATCAGAGCTTAAGGAATGATGACGACACAGCGTTTGTGCAAGAAGAGGTTGATCATATGCATATACGGCCATGTCCTCCTGATACTGGCAGAGTTAAGAGCTTCAAAGTTTTTGATAGAGTAGATGCTCTGTATAATGACGGATGGTGGGTAGGGACGATCTATAAAGTTCTTAGAGGTAACAATAAATACATTGTCTACTTCAGCAACACTAAAGAGGAATTGACGTTTAAGCAAGCTGATTTGCGGCAGCACCAGGATTGGGTTAACAGGAAATGGAAGAAAGCTCCCAAGGTAAGATGACAATTGGTTCTTTCTATTTTGAAGTACTCCGTAATTAGTATTGTCTTAGCAATCTCTTTTTTCAATGTGTTGTAAATTGTGTTTTCTGGTGGTTTTATCTAGGGAGAAGGAAAAAATAAATCTTTGAACAATATACATTGGACACATATACTTCTCAACTTTTTTTGGAACAACTAACACAAAAAACTTGTAAAATTAGAATAAATATGCCCTTGAACTCTACATTAGAAAACATATATGTACCCCTAAATTGTTTGGACCAAGGGCATTGTGTTCATTTGTTCCGAAACTCTTTTGAGGCCTTCTCTCTTATGTGCGTGTTTGTGCACATCTCTTTGAATATGGGCATGCATGGATTGAATATAATCTGATTTAAGCTTGTCTTTCAGTACTTCATAATGATGTTGAAATTTGGACTGAGCTCCTTTGATCTTCACAGGATAAAAAATTACCATCTTCAAGCTCCAACAAATCCAAGGGCTAATGTATGATTACGCCTGATCGACCTCAGCATATATTCATTTTCAGTTCGGGAAGGCCTTCAGAATTTGGTGAAGATTTTCATAATATAGTAGTAATAGACCTGCCGGCCTTAGTTTCCCCAAATGTAAAACAAAGCATAGGTTATATGGAAAGGCTGGAACAAGATTAACTTCACAGTTATTTCCAGTTCCATATTCTGCTCCTCTCATTCCAAAATGTCTGGTTATTAGTACTCAATTAAATGAATAAGTAAAAAACACCATTTTCACTCCAACCCTGTGTTGTCATAACGAGACTGGGAATCGACCCAGTCAAGTGATTGAGATCATGGGCAAACCTGGAATCAGTGTGTTAGCGAGACTGACATGGGGATAGTCTGGTCAACGGTGACATAACGATATAAAAACTAATATACATACAAATATGAACCACATTAAAGAAAACAAACTAGCTAACATCATCTTTGAATGTTTTTGGTATGAGTCTAGTTGGATGTGATGCGTGACATACTGCACAATTTTTTACTATAAATTGAGTTGGTACCGTAATCGCATAGATCAAAGAAGTTGGGTTTTATTGGCACAATTGAGTTTTACCCAATCTAAGGCTAGATTTTAGTACTACCTAAAGTCAGGCCTGAGTCAAGCTTCATAAAATGGGTCTCATATATAGTGTTTGTTTATCATATAAATTCACTAAAATTGAATGATTAAATATCACAAAAACGCAATCTTTTATTAGAAGTCTTCCATTATCACAAAACGACATTGAATGTATTAAAAAATTACTTTAGTAAAACCCGTCAAACAGTTTTAGATACATAATTTAGTGGAATACTAAAAAATATATACTATAAACTTGCTCTACAAATCAGCCATCGAACTAACTTAAAAAGTGCAAATCACCCCTTATATAAGAGGTTATGTCCGACCGTTACCATTTGTGGTGGTTCCCAGTGGAATTTTTCGATGATATTTTTTTAGCATCTTCTTCATTAAGTCTAGTTTATCCATACCAAATTTCAGCTATAAATGCAACAAATAAGGCAGTCAAATTATTTTCTGAAATATACTGCACTGTTTAACTGCGCAGTTATCTTCAAAAATTCATTTGACTGCCTTCCCGATTGAATTTTTTGCTGAAATTTGGTATGGGTAAATTAGATTTAATGAAGAATATGCTCAAAAAATTTCATCTAAAAATTTCATCAGGCACCGCCCCTAAATGGTGACGGCCTTGGAAAATACATAGGTATAATAATAGTAATGTTTAACAAATTATGGGCCCCTAATTTTTCCAATTTTTTGGGGCCATGAGGCTTGGGCCTCTCCAGCCTAACATAAGGCATGGTCTGGATTTTATGGTAACCTGGCTAGCTAGTTATTAGTTATTACAACATAAGTCCTAACCTTGCGTTTTCAAAAAAAAAAAAGTCCTAACCTCGCAGCACCAATTCAACTGTCATGTCGATGGAGCTCTGGAGGAGGAGGGAGGAGTTGATTCGCAAGATTGCACTTATTGGGTCTCTCGTGTAGAATTTACTCCTCTTAACTCTAAAGATACACTAAAAAAGATTGACTTCATGAGGACCCAACACCGTTCGAACAGTTAATTAGGGGATGTAAAGTGAACTTTTAATCACAAGTTGTTAGATAGCGAGTGAGTTATGACCTAAATACTTGTAATAGCCCTATTCATTTTTACTTAATAATCTCTTATCGCACTTGTCAGGATCCGAACTCGAAACGTACTTTTCTGACGCCCTCTATCTACTAGTTGAGCTATGCCCACCAGTCACTAGATACTGTTGGGATTGGAAAATTCTTCTATTCAATATCAAAACAGAATTACAATAGGAGGAGCAAACTCTCACACTCAACTATTACAAAAAATCAATCCTCACCAATACACTTCTACTCTAAGTGTATTTCACTCTTCACACACTTTTCTCACTTTCTAAAACTGATGATAATGAATAACATGGAGCACTCTATTTATAGGGCTGGTTTGGAGACAAGAGGTGATGCTTCCATCTTCTCCATATATTCTCCCATAACTATTTGTTGGAGAACTCCTTCCTAAAAGGTGTGAGATGTCTCTTGGCAACTTCCAAGAAAGAAGGTGGAAACTCTAAATTTTGCACACTATGATGATAAGTAATGCTATGAGTCTATGGCCACTAATGACGAGTGACTACATCTAATAAAAGAAGGATTACACAGGACGGGAGTTTGCTATGAGACTATGATAGGAGGTGTAGCTTGTAGGGGTGGGTTCGTAGAACCGAAAACCGAATCAAATCAAATCAAACCGCGACCAAATAAACCGAACCGATGAAAAACCGAAACCGAACATAAAAAACCGTACCGAACCGAACATGGTTGGTTTCGAATCGAACCGAAACCGAAAAAACCGAACAAACCGAAATATTTATAAATATAAAAAAATCATTTATTTTATATGGAGTATATGGTCGTTCATGTGGTCAACTCTCAAGACCGAAAGCGTAAGAGGCTTTTTACGAGTGCAGTAGTCCAGTAGTACTCCACTACTCCATAATCTTTTGACCTAAAAGTAAGAGGATTAGCTCTCGAAAAAATGAGCCGCCGTCGAAGACATGGTAGATCGATTCAAGATGTGAAGCAGACATGAACTATTGATTCTATTCTCTAGAGTTTACAGCAAGTCTCTAGCTCAGCTCGTCCAATAGGTATTTTACTAATTTTAATTCTTTTTTACTTCTCGATGTAAAATTGAAGATGGGAATGGGAGAAGCCTGCAATTAGAAACAATTGGGAATTGTACGGTGTATGATAAGGTCCTATAGAAATGAAAATCGAGAGAAATCATTATGATGATGATGTTTTGGGTAGACATAGCATACCATCCATTGAGTAATTCACATTTTATTTGTTCTGTTTACACTTTTTGTCCTGCTTATTTTTGTATGGGTGTGTTGTTTTGTTTCCAACTGACTGAATTTTATTATAGTTCTTTGGGAGTGATTTTCTCAACCATGTATTTCGTCCAGCTAGGATTATGATTCCATGCTCTTGGTTGTTCAAGTATGGAGCCAGTGTTAAATTAATAGGTCAATGGATAATATAATTGTTTTTATAGTTTTTTATTAGACATGTCATTTCACTAATGATACATACAGTAAGCATTATTATTGATAAAAAGAGGAATAAGTTGTATCGCTCAAAGTGTGTTTATAGCTTGGTGGAGTATACTCCTAGTCTCTATACCTTGCTGAAAATCTGTAAACTCATACCTTATTTGTGTATTGCTAATGCTAGAATGTACTTCTACTCTCCTACTATTGGGGTTATTACTTTATACTGAAAGTGATTCATCATTTCATTGTGCATATCGATGGAAAAAGCTTTATACTTAACTAAGTTAACTTAATTTCCATTACTTTTCTTTTTTTTTCCAGTATTGGATATTATTTGTGCACTGAAGTTAAGATATGAAGAGGGCTTTTTCTTCCCTTGCATCCAAGGGATCTACTGCGTCCAACACTACGAAAGCAAAAACTTCACATCTTCAGGTCAGTTGGGACTGCATTTTATTTTGCTGCACTATTTCCAAGTTTACTGCACTTAGCTTTTAGGTGTCATGTACTAATGTTTAGTGCACTATATTTAAATGGTAAGGCAGGGATTGACATTCTTCAATACTTAGTGTTTTATTTTCCTGCACTTTGATTATTTTGCATCTCATTTCTTTTTTCAGAAAGTATGTGTCTTTTTGGTTTAAAACCGAAAAAACCGGAGTCAAACCGAACAAAACCGAACCGATTCAACCGTGGTTGGACAAAAAAGTATGAACAAACCGAACCGAACCGAACCGAACCGAAGTTTTTAGTTTGATTCTACATTTGGTTTTAGGTCAAAACCGAACCGCATAAACCGAACCCACCCCTAGTAGCTTGTAACGGTACTCCATTAGTGTAGTTTGAGCTGAAACGGTTAAGGGAGTTCAAAGGTGTGTGAACAAAGTACGAAGCGTGTCACGGATCTCTACTTGGTCAATGAGTGTTCAAGCCATTCTGTCGGGTCGGGGTGTGGGGACGTCTGAGGTAGATGATTCCACCTTTTGGATTGAAAATGAAAAAAAAGTTTTAATGCATTTAGTGAATTATTTTGAGCTGCCTTTCATATTAGTGCTATATATGCATAGAGGAATGATCCCGTCCGGCTGACCTGACAGGATTCATGGTCCAACCGCCTCCGTTTGAGATGTTTCCCGATGGAATGTTTTGATGAAAATTTGTGAACATGTTCATATTGTGTAGATTACGTCCACCAAATTTCAGCTTCAAGTTCGATCAGAAAATCAGTTTAACAAATTGTTGAAAAACATTGCGCTTTTTATATATGTTTGGTGCAGTGTCTTCCAATAAAATATTTAATTGACTATCCGATTGAATCTTAAATCGGATTTTGGTGAACATAATTAACACTTAATGAAGAACATGTTTACAAAATTTCATAAACAAATTCCATCGGAAAGTATCTCAAATGGAGGCGGCAGAACGACGAATCATATCAGACCGACCTGACAAAATCATTCCTCTATATACACACTCTGTTGGGTATAAGTTATATAAGGGAGGTATATCTATTCTAGAAAAAATTAGCCTTGATATGACTAAAAGTCCATTTATCCAATATATGACCTTATTAGTTTTTACCCAAAAATAAAATTTAATTGGTGATATTTAAATATTGTATTTCATAAATAAACAAATAATTTGCATTGACTAATATGCCCTTAGCTTATTGCTTTTGAACTTCCTCCTCATATTTCTTGAAATTAGGATTGGCAGAGAGCCACGAGGACAATGCTGGACCTACGATTAGGAGCGAAGGAGCAAGGGCCTACGATTGAGCAGTAATGCAAACATGAAATGCAATATATTTAATTGAATGAAATAAATGCAAAATACACCTTTTTAACAAGGCTATTTTTGGCTTTTAATACAACAAGACGAAGACGACATGAAGTATTCACCGAGAAACACGAGAACCTAATTGATTTATTTGACTATCTTTCTAAAAAAAATGGAAACATTTAACAACTAAATGAGAGGTAGGTGGGATGTAGTATTTGTTTCATTTCGAAATGAATGCATTCACATAAATTGGAGTACATGTGACACGCATGACTCATCTTGCTATCCTCTCGGTTCAAAATTCGTATAGGGTGGGAATCTTTTGCGCTTAAAAAAACTGATTAGTAAAATTAATACTATCACTTCGTAACTAACAATAAATAATGAGTTTAAATAATGAGTTTTTTACAATAAATAATCTTTTGCGCTTAAAATTAATACTATCACTTCGTAACTAACAATAAATAATGAGTTTTTTACAAGAATATTACTAAAATAAAACTTATTTACATAAATATGACTATTCATTACTACAACGTAGTGTTGTAGTAACTTAAGTTCAAAACTTGAACACGAATTACTATGATTTCATTATTACTCTAGTAACTAATCATATTGTTAAGATCCGGGATTCCATCCTAAAAGGTCAACCTGATAGGAAGAGTAGTATGAATCTTAATATAGTGTTTAATCATTCCAAAGATATCCAGTGTGGGACATTTAACACCCCTCCTCACGACCAGACACTTCGTCTGGATCGTGTCATCATTCGTATTTTTTTCATCGATCTGGTTTTTTCATCCGGCCGTAATTGTCATTTTTTTTATAATCGTTTCATCACGATTCATAAGGGGCTCCCACACCATGGATCGATTTGGCTCTGATACCATGTTAAGATCCGGGATTCCATCCTAAAAGGTCAACCTGATAGGAGGAGTAACATGGATCTTAATATAGGGTTTAATCATTCCAAAGATATCTGGTGTGGTGTTTAATACATATTTTTGTAAGTCATCTTTATTTTGGTCATATTTATGTAATTATTTTTTAATAAATTAACAAAAAACTGATGCTTAATATCAATCTCATCATGATTAAATAATTAGCTTAGGGTGTTAATGAAACATACGAACACCCATTTAGAACTTACTTTGAAGTGCCCAGTGCCGGAGCAAGAAATCTATGATTAAAGGGTCTGTCCAAAAAAGTTTTACGTTAGAAGGGCCATAATTTAAAATATCAACATATTTTCTATAGATTTATACATAATATACTTAATATAGTTTAAAAGTATTTTTACATAATATATAAGATACTTTTCGGTTTACGATGTTTGATCGACGATAAAGCAAACAGATCCCTGTCTGCACTCAAATTATCTCTAGAAAATAAAAATTACATATTCAGAAACTACATTAAAACCGCTACAAAACTTGTAAAAGCTAATTCAAATTTCGAAAAAATTTGATATATAAAGTAAGAGATTAAGAGTGATTTGTGTTGACCAAGTGAATAGTAAAGACATCTTATAAAATGGGACAGAGGGAGTACTTAAGAACCCCTACAGACCCTCCATGTCTCCACCCCTGGAAAGTGCCGTTGTGGGATTAAATTTAAGGTTGGTTTGCAACCACTTTAAAAAAAGCACTTATCAGTTTTTGGCTTTTAAAAAAACACTTCTTTTACCAAACACTACAACTTTTATTTTTCTCGGCTTTCGTGTCAAAAGTGCTTTTACTTTTTCTATTACACAAAAAACACTTACTTTACAAAACACTATCAACTTTTACTTTTTAAAATCACTTTTTTCTCAAACACTATCAACTTTTATTTAATCATTTCTCCCCATTTCATTAAAAAACACTTTTTTAAAGTAGAAGCCGTTGCAAACAGACCCTTACATTGATTTTTTAATTGCACTTTCTCTCATATTTAATATGGAGTATATGTTCTATTTTACGTTGAATTTGATTTATTCAAACAACTATAATTTTGTTAACATAATTCAAAAAAATCAACCAAATTATATTTCCCATACTTAATGTTTGGCCGCTTAGGACTTCCATTATAGGAAGTCAGGAAAATGATAAGAAATCATAAAGCCCCATCTGATTTCATTTCATAATTCTAAATTTCATACACAACTAGGAAGCATTATTGAAACAACCATGACATTATTCAAACATGACAGTATTTTCCAAACATGACAATAATTACTCCTATTTTGAGAATAAAAAACATGACAGTCATATTGTGGAATTTTTAAACTGTTTTAGTCCTATTTCAGGAACTTTCCCCTGATAAAACACATTGAGTAAAGAATGCACTCAAGCATTGTCCCTTTTTATGGGAACCACACCATATTGATATAACAAATTAAACATAATCTCTGACTCTCTTTATAGTGTTTCAAAAAGAGGTTTCAATATTGTTAAATTTCATCTTTAATTATTGAAAACAAGATTATAACAATAGTGGGAAAGCATATAAAAAGTCTATGAAAGACAAAGTACAATCTTTATTTTGGAGGAATTAGATTAAAGAAACAAATAACCACAAGAAGAGTTACACTTCCTTCACTGCCACAGTTGCATTCACCTCACCATTTGCAGGTTTCTCCTTCTTCTCCTCCTCCTTTTCCTCGACCTCAAAAGCCGAGACCGGGAAGGTCCTTGACAACCCGGTTGTGCTCTTGAAGTGGATCTTCCCGGTCGGGGGATCGTCGGTGCAAATCTCATGGATAGTGAGCCATAACATGAGCTCCTTGGCCTTTACCCCCTTCAGATTCTTGATCTTGCCGGGTTCGATCGTAGCGGTGACCTCGGTCGAGTACTGGACCGAGCGCCCGATCTGCTCGAACTTGTGGTCGGTCTTCTTCTTGGACTTGAGCCAGACAAAACCGGTGGGCTTAACGTAGCCACACTCTTCCATGTCCTTAATGGGGAGCAAACCATTTGGTAAGCACATTTCTTTGAGGAGGAACTTGGCTTTCTCTTGGCACATTTCGTCCCCTTCGTAGAACTCTGTTGCGCTCTCTCTGATCTCTTTCGTAATTTGAGACGACATTTTCTCAGAGTTTATTTGTGTGAATTTTCTTTTCTTTGGTTTCTTTCTCTGTTTCAGTGATAGGTTGCTTGGGACTTGTAGAATGTTTGGGAGGTTGGATTTATATACAGTAGATAGCCGGTGCTTGTAATTACTCCTACCGTCCCTCCCACTTTTGTGGCACGCGGTTTTAGAAAATAAAGATTTTGCAATTGAATACTAGTACTTCGTACTCCCTCCGGTTTTTAATAAACTTCATACTTTTCTTTTTGAGACGGTCTAAAATAAATTTCACACTTCCTTATTTCCTTTTTTGGCAAAGAAATCTACATCAAAACAGTGCCAAACAGTGTATCAACAGTGCCAAACAGTGTATCAACAGTGCCAAACAGTGTCTCTACAGTGCCAAACAGTGTCTCTACAGTGCCAAACAGTGTCAAACAGTGCCAAACAGTGCCTCAACAGTGTACTCTACAGTAAAGTCAAATTTCTTTCCTTATTTTGTGTGAAGTCAAACTGTGAAGATTAAAAAAAAACGGAGGTAGTATAATTTATGCCAGAAATTTGTGGTGTGACGATATAATACAAAGACATTACAAAGTTCAAGTCTCATTTCAATTGAAGCACATTTTAATATAGAACATATATCATAGGTTAGAAATTTCAAGAGAAACGAGCGTCTTGGTGCACACATAACACATTTGTCACTTGTCCAGATAAGTGTATCAAAAGTGTACGCAAAAAACGTGTACACCAAGCATCTTAATTCGAGAACGCAAAAATCCGCAGTTATCTTCAAGAATTAATTTGAATGTCTTCCCGATTGAATTTTTAGCTAAAATTTGGTATGAGTAAACTAGACTTGATGAATAAGATGATCAAAAAAATTCATCAAAAAATTCAACCGGGAACCACCCCAAATGACGACGGCCGGACAGAGCCTCCTAAATAAGGGCTTATTTGACCTTTTTTGGTTAGTACATGGGCCTATTTGCACCTTTTCCCAAAAAATTAATGTTAGTTACTTTTGGACTATGTCATCTCAATGTATAATCTTATTAATCAGCACACACTAGGGGCGTAAATGAGCCAAGCCGCTTGCGAGCTGCTCGTCGATCGTTCGGAAAAAGCTCGATTCGAGTTCGGTCATATTAAATTCGACTCGAGTTCGGCTCGACTCGAATAGTTAACAAGCTCAATTCAAGCCTATTTATTTTAAGCTCGTCGCTCACGAGCCGGTTCATGAGCCTTTGTGTCATATTTTATATATATAATAAATATATATGTAATAATTATATATATACTTTTTTTGAAATATTTATTCTAATTTAGGACTTCCATTTTCAATACTTATCACAAATTAAATAATAATAATAATAATTACAAAAATAATAACATGTGTGTGGTATTATATTGTTACTCTTCATATTTATTGACAGTAAAATAAAGAATAGAAATGTTAGTAAATGAGAGATAAACTAAAAATGAGAATGAATAAGTACACATATACGTAATATTTTTAGTTCGAGTTCAAGCATCTTATTCGATTTCAAACCTATAAAAATTAATTAGCGAAACTTGACTCGAGCTCGAACCAAGCTCGAATGGAGCTAGATAGAGCCGAGCTTGGCTCGAGATCGAATTTGAATTATTTAACTCATCCAAGCTCGAGATCAAGCTCGGGCTCGTGAATTCTTATAAGGCTCAAGCATACCCATGCTCGGGCTCGGCTCGGCTTGTTTGCACCCCTAGCACACACGTACTCGATCTATCATTAGTTTTTATAGAAATGGTCCTAAATAGGAGTAAAACCGTTTTGAAAATTTAAAATAGGACTTTCATGTTTTTCTTCCCTAAATAGGAGAAATTCTGTCAATTTTGGAAAAAATGACATGTTTAAACCCTAGTAATTTCAAACTTGACAAAAATTTACTCCTATTCAAGCAATAAAAATTTAAAAACATGATAGTCCTATTTTGAAATTTCATAACTTTTTTACTCATATTTAGGAAATTTCCTCTAGTTTTTATAAATATTTGGCTTGGAAGGAGTAATATATACTAGTCTAAATCTAAAAACCTTATATTTGTGAATGATGGTTGGTACCCATTTTTATGTCAATATATTGTTTGCATAAGATGTTGTACCTTCTCTTTTAAAAATTAAACTTAACTTTTTAATGTACTTAAATACCCTTACTACCGTTAATTACTTAACTCTGCTCTTACAGCGCATAATAGGTTGTTTACGAATATTAGACCTGCAGGAAATTGAAATGCTAATTGGAATGCTTCCCCCAAGACATTATAATATACTACTGACGTATTTCATACGTTGGAAGTATTTAAATTTTACACAATAATATTTGGCTTTGACCATTTGCAAATTTAATGGGTCCTCATATTAAAATTTTATGGATTTCAAATTTCTATTGAATTTTAAGGCTTCCCAAATTTAGAAATTCAAACTTTTAGTACCTATAATTGCGTTTAAAATTTATATTATAATCATTTTAACATAATTATAGTCACTAAAAGTTCACCACTTTTTCAGAAATAATATTAGATTTTTTTTCACCATAACGAGACAATTCGAATATCTTTTGAAAAATAATTATATGAGTACATAACATAATGAGGTCATTGGTGATAATTGTAATGCAAAAAATAGGTGTTCTATTTTAAATATTTGATGATTAATTTACAACTTAAGACCGTTAGTTACTTCTAAAAGAAAAGGGGACGTTTTTTACTTTTTTTTAGTAAGTATTAGTTTTTAGCGATTGCAAAGTTTTTAAAAGAAAATGTTGTAGGTGTTTGATAAAAAGCTGATTGTTTGATTTAGCTCTATTTGGTATACAGGCTGTTGAGACTAATTAATGTTAGAAGCTACCGGCTAATCTGAGATGCTACCCACTATAGCATCTCAAAAAAGATCTTTGGTTTTTACAAAAGCTTTTAAAAATTGGCATGCTAAACATATAAATAGAAGTTTTTAAAGACTTTTTAAATAATACAAAAGTCATAAGATAGTGACTTATGCTTGCCAAACATAGCCTAAAAAGAAGCAAGTGAAAAGCTTATGCAAGGCCGAAAAGAGTATCGGGTTTTGATTTCTTTAGTTTTTTATTTATTTTATTCACAAAACTTTCTTTTTTAATAAAAATAAATAATATATAAATTGATAATTTAGCGATTACTACTTTAATATTGGACATTATCTTTCGCGCATTGCGCGTATAGAAAGCTAGTATATATATAATATAAACAGCAAATGATTCAACAAATCATTGATTCGAGAACAAATCGTGTTTCCAACCAAACATTTCAGTCCAAGTGGTTGTGAGGTTACCGTGCCTAGTGGAGTTCGAAACCACTAGGCACATAAGGGCTTAAAAATCAATGGAGTGAGTTTCACCCATGATTACTCCAGGCTCCCCTCAGCCCCCCGCCCCCTTACCCCTGGAGTAAAAAAAAAACAAATCGTGTTTCCAGTTAATTAGTATTTCCTCCATCCCGAAAAGGTTGGCCAAATTGACTTTTCTTGGTCAATGACAATCAACTTTTACCAAAGATTTTTTTTAATACGAAATTATTTTGAATATGAAAATTATGTCAAAATGTTCCTTATTCAAAATATTTTCATAAGAGTATAAAATTTATAAATTTTATACAATTATAATACTCCCTAATTAAAATGATTGTACAAAGTTTGTCATCATTGATCAATAAAAGTCAATATAACAAACCTTTTGGGGTGGTAGACTTGTAGTACGTGCCACTAGTGCATATGTGAATACGGTACTAAGAGATCCCTTAAATTACTTAATTACGCACTTTATTTTCATGCCCCAGGCTCTGTCTTGTACAATTTGACAAATTCTCAATTCATGGGATAAAGGCAGTATACCTTTTCAAACGCTGCACATCCCGTAGTGCAGTAAATTTGACTTTGGTTTTACATCTTGTACGTAGTAGTTTCAATTTTAAATGCTGCACATTTATTTGTTATCTATCTACTTTTGAAATTATTTCACATCCAATTTAATATGTTTGAATCTTCTAGTTTAACTTAGAAATTTAAATAATGTCGATAAAAAAATATATTGCAAACAGGCATGGAACAGGCCAGAAACCAAAATGCAGTACGCGGCATTTCATTTAAATAAAATAAAAACCAGTTTGGTGCATCGGGAGCTAGTTTATTCTAAACTCTCACAAAAAAACTTACAAACAAATGATACGACTATCCTCATTATCTTTGATGTAAAGATGTCCTAAAGGTGATGTGATGTGTTCAATAATGTGATGATGGCACATACCTCTTTTGTAAGACGTTTTGTAAGAGTTTTTGTATCTCTAGCATAACTCGATAAAAAATCCATTTGATAACACTAAAATTAGGTGAGTTGATTGATTCTGCTAAAATTTATGTAGTTCTGATTGAAGTGACTGAATTGACTAATTCAGCTTAATTATAAAAAATTATATTTAAAATATATTTTATTAATTAAATAAAAAAATCATATGAAAAAATAGTTAAATGATCTTCCACCACCCCACCTTTACTTATTTTGACAAATAGATAACTTAACGTGTGAAATCAAAAATAGATGTTTGGTGAAAAAGCTGACTGATAAGCTAATAAGTCAAAAAAATGGATCTTTAAATGGGTTCAAAATGACATTTCGTTAAGATTTAAGAATGGTTAACTCCCTCTATTTTATGGTATATGCATAGTGACATTTTATTTTTTAGGAAATTGTACTTTGGATTGGTTTGAATGCCCTTACTCAATCTTTGGAGTGTGCAAGTCCAAAGAGGGCCTTCTAAAATAAAATGTGATTATAGTGGCTTAATAATAGTAATGTCATAAAAGCACTACGTCAAATATAAATCAAATCTTTCCTATTTCCTTTTTTTTAATACTACATGGGGCTTCCGGGGGCGTCTGGGGGGAGCCTGGAGTAATCTAGACTGAAACTCACTCCATTGAATTTCGAACCCGAGACCTCCCGTAAGAGAGAGTGAGTGGGCGACCAGTTGGGCTGACCGCTTCCTCATCTTTCCTACTTCTTGTTCATATAGAACCATATTGGTATATAAATATAAAATCAGAAGATGGTTTCTCAGCTCTCACATTTTTATCCTAATACATATAA